AAGAATTCTCTTTGCCCTGAAAGTTCAGCAGACAGCTCAATAAACACTTTATTTTTTTCTTGTTGACAATATTTATAATTACATCTTCTACAAAATGTTTTATTATACTACGACCAATGTTTAAAATGTATTATTAGAGAAAATAGGCCAATGTTTATATCAATTTGTCCCTGGGACTTTTAGGATACAGGTTAACACAGTCTTACAGGGTTTTGTAATTAGTCTATCTTTATTAATTACTAGACTGAGAACAAAATTAAGATATTTCCAATTTTAGCTGAAAGAGTGTGTAGTGAAACTGATTAGAGGATGTATATTAGAGGTTTTCTAGTCACTAGATATCACCAGCTACCAAACAAGGACCATGCCTTCTATTTTTATGAATGACCTACCTTGGTAATATATATCCACAAAATATTTATTGAGTTCCTATTATATGTTAGCCACTGTTCTAGTTATTGGAGATACATTAGTGAAAAATATATACCAAAAAACATTATTGTCTAAACAAGAATAAATATATATGTGGAGAGAGAGAGAGAGAGAGAGAGAGAGAGAGAGAGAGAAAGAAAGGGAGGGAGAGAGAGAGTGAGATACTGAGAGAGACAAAAAGAGATTAGAGCTAAGAAGTTTTGTGTGTTTACATGAGAACAATTTCTTTCCAGCTCTTTAGTCAACTTTGCTCTCAGTATACTCAAGAATAAAAGGAACGCATACATTTAAAATTCAAATGTGTGAGAACAAATATGCAAGTAGAATTACTTATGTCTACAGCAGCTGAACTCTTGATACAATACACTTTTAAGGGTGCTAAGTCATTAGTTCCAGATAGAAATTTGTACTTGATATCCTCAGACTTACTCTGACATAATTGTGTTTGCTTATTTGTTAGGTCAAGTAAGGTAAATCTAGAAAAACATTCTCATTTTCCAAATGCTTAATTTTTTATGACCTTTCTCCCCATCTTTTATGAATAATGGCTCATTTAAGTGCAAGGTTACAAAATATTTGTCACAGAGTTTTTTCCTCATAATGTTTCAATTGTACATTTTTATCAGTCTGCCACTTAAATCTTTGTTCTTAGTCATTTTTACTCTTAATTTAGTCTTCCATTAGGAACTAATAATAAATCATGGAGTCTATTTGCAGCTGAAATTAATATCCTAAGCTCAGGATAGTAACTGTGCCCCTTCTTGTTTCTAAATCTAAGAATATACATTTCTATGATTTTACATATATTTTTAAACTATGACTGCTTGTGTAAGGCACTGAGCTCTTTTCTGGGATTACGATGGCTGAAATATGGCCCTTGCACTTGCCAAGATCACATTTAACATGGAGAAACAACACCCATAGGAAAATGTAAGATGTAAAATGATTAATTATGTTCTGCTACAAATAATATAGGATTGTAGCAAGGAAAGGGATTATTTTTGAATAAAAGGGTTCCAAAACCTTCACAGAGAGACATTTTCCTTGCCTCTTTAAGGATGAGTAGAAGGTCCCCAGGAAACGAAGAAGTAAAGGTAAATGTAAGCTCATTTATAAAGACTTTAAAATGTATAGAAAATTATGAATAGTCCAATAAGGCTTGAGATTCAACTTTGAGTACTAAATGGAATGATTTCCACAAGCTAAATTTTTTATAGAGGCAAGTTACTTGATGGTTAGTTATTCTATGTATTACCTTTTCAAGACCTTAGTCTCATACAAAGATCTTAATTAATTAATAATTTTTAGAAGATATCAAAACTTTATAATGTTATCAGTACACCTAATCACAATGTATTGGCACCACCCTGTTTTCTTGTTATAATAACTCCTCCCTTCCAAAATTCTTGATCCTTTGCTTAAAAAAGTATTTCTATGACTACCACTGAGATTAATATATATATATATATATATATATATATATATATA